AGATAGAATGAAGCAGAATGATGAAAAAGGGGTCCCTATGTCCTCCAGCAGTCTAAGCCTATAGCAGCAGAACTATAGAGATAGCTCACAAAATTCAGTCGGCCGTCGTTAGGCGTTCATGGACAAATCCTGCTGTTGAAGCAGAGCTATGAGTCGATTTACCTGAAACTAGAGCACTGCACATGTGTGAACAAGGGAGTTTTTCTAGATTGACAAGTCCAATTAGAACCATCTGGCTGCGAAGCCGAATCCGACAGGTTTTTTTTTAGACTTACAGTGTGAGCGGCTAGATCACATCCAGAAGAAATGGGGGAAAAAAACGAAACTTTTTCTTCTTCCGGGTTCTTCCACTTGTCCAGAAGCAGCCTGCAACTCAAACCTGCCCCTCGGCCTCCAGTCCAGCTTTGGAACCGGAGGCGTTGGATGCTTCCAGCGTTATCCTGGTCACTCTAGGAGTCCTGCAGAGTTCCAGGACCTTCCTCCTCAGGAAGGTTTAATGGGGCTCCCATCTCTGCAGGGTTACATACAGTTATATGACAGAACATGATTGGAGCGTCTCTATGAGCAGCTACATGCTGAAGGTTCTAAAGCGGAACAGACCTCGGATCAGCCGTGATCCTTTGAGCTATCCGTGACTCGGTGCGGATCAAAATGAGGAAAATAAGTTCCTGGGCAGCAGGAGGGCTGCCCTGCAGCTGGATTCTAAAGCTGTTTGTTCTGTTTGTAATATCTGTGACTGTGAAACTGGACCATGAAGGCATCGCTTCACGGTTTCCGCTTCCTGCCTGTTATTAAAAGCAGGATCATGACTGGAAGTCCTCCAGAGGAAAAACTGGACGATGAGCCTCCACAGGTCAGAGGTGTGTTGTTTTCTAAATGAGATGAGCGTGCTCCTAGAAACACTCGTATTAAACGGGTTAAGCATGCAGATTAACCCCAAACGCTCAGCGGCGCTCTCATCAAAACAAACGGCTCATCCAGAACACGGAGCATGTGAAGATCCGCGGAAAATATCCGCTCAGTTTACATCTTTAACGTGTAAAAGTCTGGAACCATGTTTGGCAGCTCTTATTCATTTTAAATAGAAATACATTCGATTTGTTTTGTTAAACAATGATGGCAGATGGTTGTAAGAAGTTATATTCCAACTAAAATCCCTTTATACTGCAGATCAGTTGATGCTATTTCTTTCTTTCTCTCACTAAGCTCTGCTGAATGAACCAGGTTTATTTTAAACATATTCCCAGTCAGACATCAAACAGTCTGATCAGCGTTTAATGAGTGTTCCGCTCTGACTGACTGTTTTTGTCCTCCTCGTCTTCCTCCAGCTTCCATCCAGACTGCGCTTCATTTAGCACAAACACAAGGTTCTTAGTTTGGTGCAATCACGCGGGCTATTGGATTACAGTCAGTGTCGAGTTTAACCCCGTTAGCTCAGCTCAGCGCTCGCTAAGCCGCTTACTGTATGAGGAGGTCAAAGGTCGGCAACCGCTGTAACTGAATGTCGGTTTCTTCTGCGGCCGAGTCGGAGGCTGTCTCCAAGGTTTGACGCTGGAGATGTTTCTGAGTCAGAACCGGACGGACGGATCCTGAAATGGATCCAGATCTTTTTTTTCTCCCTGGAGAGAAAACCTCTGGAACGCCGACGGACGAGCAGAGCTTTTTAAACTGCTTATTGTGTCCAATGGTTAAAAGGATGTTTGTCTTTGTGTTCTGCTGGTTTTAAACAGCTGCTGTTATTAAAGTCTCCTTTCATTAGCGTCTTATTAACAGGATTTTGATCCTGCTGTGTTTTTAAACTGCAGAGCTTCAGGCCGAAGGACAATTCATTGTTTACTTCCTGCTGGTCAGGAAGCACCCAGCTAAACAGCTGGAAGTAGATAAAAAAAACCAACCAGGCTGCAGCTCATGTATTTAGTTGTTTCTTAATAATTATTTAGGATTTTTATTAAACGTCAATTTTTCTAGATTAAATACTTAAATTATTTATGCCTTTAATTCATAAAAATAATTTAAATTCTTTATGAACACAGACACTAATGACTTCCTGTTTAATGGCTGATGGTCATGCTTCATGTGGTCTGATCAGCTGATAACCGCAAAGCATTCTGGGTCAGGAGACACTGTGAATCCCTGAGATTTGCTGGGGAAGATTCTCAGTCATCCAGATTATAGATATTCCACAAAAGATAAAAAAAATCAATCCTCTGGACTTTGTTTCCAAGTCTGAAGACGTTTCTCTTCCATCCAGGAAGATTTTTCATTCAAAATGTCAGAAATAGTGTTTAGTTCCAGGTTTTATCCAGCAGCCCAATAAAGCCTGGTTTATGTTTAGAAAACATGCAAATAGAAACGGATGAACTTCTTTTGTTGATAATATCAGTGTTTGCTTAAAGTCAAACTGTCTGGATTGAAGTTATTTACCTTATTAGAACTAAATCCTTTGACATCCTCATTTTGGCTTTCTGACTAAAACTGCTCTGTCTTTATAAACTGATCAGACTTCTAATAATCAACAGTTTTATTTTGAAGAAATAGGGAGGTTAAGTTTTTACCAACTAAGAGTTTTTACCACCTGTAAAGCATCTGGAAATGACTGACTTGAACTATCCTGGGCTACTATTAGCCCATTTCCGCTACCCTTGAAAAACCAATCCATGCCGAGACCGGTCCGAGCTCGGATCAGTTAACCAGGCCGAGCTCAGTTCGGACGACCGTTTACACATCACGCTATCTTGGTTCCTCGCCTCCTAGTGACGATCTGCGGTATTACTGCCAGTATTGAAGGAGGAAACCAAGCAGTTGGTGGCGGTAATTAGGGATGTAGGATATAATCGGCCCCCTATCGGTATCGGCCTTAAAACTGAATATCGGACATCGGCCACCCCACCGATATTTAACCCGATATTTGATCAGCTTCTGAGTTTC